CACAATTTGTTCACTTATTCAACATTTACATAAACTGATATACTATTATTTGCCAAGTATAAGCAGACTCTGGATAACCAAAGTTGAGTAAAAGACTGAAAGAAAGAAGAAAATGCCAGAAATCCACATAAGGCAAAAAAAAATTCTTCAAAAATGAAGGGAAATAGATGTAATACCAGAAGAGAATTTAGAGTGTGTTGCTGGCACATGAGCTTGATGATTTTTTTTCTTTTTTTGGATTTTTTTTGGGGGGGCGCGGGGGGCCCACTGGGGATTGAACCCAGACACTTCCTCAGTTAGTGAGACTGACCTTGATGGAACTTACGATTCTCCTGCCTCAGCCTCCCAAAATATTGGGGTTATGGCATGTGCCATGGTGTGTAGCACAATATTTAAAGATGTTCAGTTGCAACCAAAATTCCTTCAACATGTAGGTCAAATTCATAAAAAGAAATAAACTATCAAAAACTCTATAGTTCATTTCCCAAATTATTTCTTAATAATTTGGAAATATATTAACACAATAATTAAGTACTACTTTGATAATTTATATATGTATATTATGTGTGTGTATATATAACAATAAGCTCACAAAGAAGGAGGAAGGAAATGAAGTATTTGTGCCAAGTTTCTATATTTTGCAGGAATTAAGTTAGTATTGATGTGAAGTAGATTGAGACAGAATAGGGTGCATTTTGTAATCACCAGATCAAGCACTAAGACAACAAAAATAAAGCTAGAAAACCAGGAAGACTAAATTTCTATCCTGGAATATATTTATTCAACAACAACAACAACAACAAAAGGCAGTCAAGAGAAGAAAAATACCAAGAAACTTCAGAAGAAATATAGAACACAAATAACAAAGTAGTAAATATAAACACAATTATATCAGTGACTGCACTGAATTCTATGGTCTCCATATCCTTATCACAATAGAGATTGTCAAAAATAAATGACATAAAAAGGCTAACAATAGATGAAAAAAATGTTCTTTAAGAGTTAATAAAAGTGATCAAATATAACTAAACTGACTAAAGAAAGAAAAAGAAAGGCCAAGTGCAGTGGCACAGGGGATCACAAGTTCAAAGCCAGCCTCAGCAATTCAGTGAGGTCCTAAGCAACTTAGTGAGACCCTGACTCATAATGCAAGGATGCTTCAACATACAAATTTTAACAGAATGTAATATTAAAACCATATGATGATTTCAAAAGATACACAAAAAGCATACCATGAAGTTCTATATCCTTTCATGATAAAAACTCTCAACAATTTAATTACAGGAGGAATATACAATAAAATAAAGTCCATACATGATAAACTCAGAGGTAATATCATAATCAACAGTGAGATGGTGAAAACCCTTCTTCCAAGATCAGGAGAAAGCCCATTTTCACCACTTTTGTCAACATAGTACAGAAAGTCTTAGCCCAAGCAATTAGGCAAGTAAAAGAAGAAACAGATATCCAACATGGAAGTTAAATTTTTCCTCTTTGCAGACAACATGATCTTACTGAAAACCCTACGGATTTCACAAACACACACAAAAAAATCTTAGAATAAAAAACTAATTCAGTAAAGTTCTAGGATGTAAAATCAATATACAAAAGTTAATTGATTTTCTATACTAACAACTATCCAAAAGAAATGAAGAAACTCCCACTTATAATAGCTATAATAAAATAAAATACTTAAAGTTAACAAGGAAGTGAGAAATCTATATACTGAAACCTATAAAAAAGTTGATACAAAAATTGAAACAGACCAAAAAAAGTGGAAAGATATCTTGTGTTAATGGGTTGAAAAAACTGATATAGAGAAACACTAAAATATTTTAAATTCAGCTAAAGGAGCAAAGCTGGAGGCATCACAATGAGTTTAAAATCTATAACAAAACTATGATTTTTTTTTAATAAGCACTCTATTGACAAAGCTATATTCTCAGCCCTGATCTGTAATCTTTTTTTAAAAATTTTTATTTAGTTTTTAGTTTTCGGCAGACACAACATCTTTGTTTGTATGGGGTGCTGAGGATCCAACCGGGCCACATACATGCCAGGCGAGTGTGCTAGCCCCAACAAAATTATGCTAATAAAGACACAAAACAATGGCAATGAAAACAGATTTACTTGTCAATGGAAAACAATAGGGAGTCTGGAGGTTGGTGGGAATGGGTGTATTTATGGTCAGTTGATTTTTAATACACTGTGTACCAAGAGTACACAGAAGGTTCAGGCATAGCGGCAATGCCCACTAAACCAGTGACTTGATCATATGTTCAAGCCAGCCTAGACAACTCAGCAAGATCCTGTCTCAAAATAAAATAAATAAATAAATAAAAAAGGCTAGGGATGTACCTAAGTGCTAGAGTGCCCCTTGGGTCAACCCATAGTGCTGGGGGTTAAGTACGGAGAAGAAAGGACTGTCTCTTGAATAAATTGCATTGGGACAAATGGATAACTATATGCAGAAGAATGATAATTAAGAACATATCATACCACATACAAAAATCATTTCAAAGTAGATAAAAAAATTCAACATAACACGTGGAACTATAAAACTACTTGAAGAAAACAAACTGCAAAAGTCCATGTCATTGGTCTGAGCAATGATATTTTAACTGAACTCCAAACCCTGGCAACAAAAACAAAATTAGAAAAATGGTATTACACCAAACTGAAAAGCTTGTGCACAGAAAAGGAAATAATCAACCAAATGAAAAGACAGGCTACAGAATGGAGAAAACATCTGCAAAGCATATGTTTTTAAGGGGTTAATATCCAAAATATATAAAGAACACATATACATGCATAATTGAAAAGCAGAAAAACAAATGTCCAATTTAAACACTGGCAAAGGACTTGAACAGACACTTCTCAAAAGAAGACAAACAAACTGCAGGTATATGAAAAAATGCTCAAAATCACTAATCATCAAGGAAACACAATTTAAAACTACACTGAGAGATCCCACTTCACACTTGGTAAGAAGACTATTATCACAAAGGAAAGGCAAGCATGGGCAAGGACACGGAGAAAAGGAAACCTTGGCACAATGTTGGGGGGAATGTAAAT